ACCAACCTCTGATAGATAGTCGGATCTCTCAACTCCTCACCTTCAGCAGTAAGCTTCAGGTTTGGAATCATGGGTGATGATCCCGGTTTGCACCTCAGCATCCCAGTGTTTGAGAGAAGATCCAGAACATACTTTCTCTGATAAAGAATAATATTCCTACTGCTATGGGCAACCTCAATCTCAAGAAAGTATCGCAAAAATCTAAGGTCCTTCACATTAAAGGTCTTCCCAAGGTCTACCTTAACTTATGCAGTTCCAGAAATATCATCTCCAGTAATAATAATATCATCAACATATACCAAAAAGATGACACACTGTTCAGAAGTATTCTGTCGAATGAAACAGGTATGATCAAAATGATATCCGGTGAATCCTAAATGTACAATTACATCACTAAAGCGAAAGAACCATGCTTGTGGTGACTGTTTCGGTCCATAAAGTGACTTACGCAGTCGACATACCTTTCCAGCATACTCCCCTTCACCATGAAAGTCCGGTGGTGGATTTATATAAATAATCTTATCCAGATTACCGTGAAGAAATGCATTCTTCACATCCAACTGATGAAGAGACTAAGAGTACTTCGCAGCCAGAGAAATAATCAATCGAACAGTATTCAATTTTGCCACGGGGGCAAAGGTAGCACCAAAATCACGACCTGGTACCTAAGTAAAGCCCTTCGCCACAAGTATAGCCTTGTGACGATCAATAATACCATCCGCAAGAAACTTCAGGGTGTAAACCCAACGACAGCCAACAGGCTTCACCCCTGAAGGTAAAGAGGCAAGATCCCACGTATGATTACACTGAAGAGCATTCATCTCTGTCTGCATGGCAAGAACCCACTGAGGCTCCTCATAGCCTCTGAAACAGAGCGAGGAACCGGCTGATAAGGTCATATTATAAGCTCGAAATGTAAGAGACAAATCACCATAAGAAACATAAGTAGAGATAGGATATAAAATCCTGGCGGTCTAACCATAACGAATAACTGGACGACGATTACGCCGCGGATTACGACGTCCTAAATCATCATCCTCAACTGACAATGTCTCATCATGTAAAGTAACTGGTTCGGTACCTGCAATCTCATCAGTACTAACAACAGGTGCATCAATATGCTCAATGAATTGAGAAGTATTACCTGCATCACCTGAGGTAGTGGGGACATCAGCAGGGAGATAAGAGCGAGGGTGACGAATATAAACCTGCAAAAGAAGAGAGACTGGTGATTTTGTACTGACAAAGATGAGTGGTTGTGGAGGAAGAGAGAATGATGACTCTGTAGTGATAATGACCAATGACTTTGGCTCTTGTGGTAATGGAAAATCAAAGGGAATATCATCAACTGGAGGGACAGACATAGGACCGGAAGAAAAATAAGGAATATGCTCAAGAAATGTAACATCTAGACTGTAATACATACGATGCCTAATAGGATCATAACACCGATACCCCTTAGACTGATGACAATAGCTTACAAAGACACAACGAATCGCTTTATCATCAAGCTTATGACGAGTAGGAGACCGATCCTGAACAAAACATGTGCATCTAAAAACACGATGGGGGATTGAAAAAAGTGTCCGCTTAGGAAATAAAACCTGTAAGAGAGTCTTATGCTGAAGAACACGACTCGGTGTACGATTACACAGAAAGGTAGAAGTCAAAACAGCAAAATGTTAATAAGATTTGGTACCCCCATGTCCCTAAGCATACAACGTACCATCCCTATCAGACTCTTATTTTTCTTTTCAGCAACGTCATTTTGCTCAAGAGTATATAGTCAAGTGAGTTGTTGAAAAATACCCTGAGAAGAAAGGTGAGACACTAAGGCATCAGACACATGTTCTTTGGCATTATTCGAACGAAGAGCACAAATAATGACATCGAATTGTGTCTTAATCATCTGTAAAAACTGAGTGATTATAGGGAGTACATCAGACTTTCTATGTAAAAAGTAGACTCAAGTACAACGGGTATGATCATTTATAAATGTCACATAGTATCGAGCACCTGATAGAGTAGTAACAAGAGAAGGTCCCCAAATATCAGAGTGTATTAGGTCAAATAGCTTGGGTGACTGGTGCATGCGAGGAATATAACTGGTCCTAACATGTTTCGATAGGGAACATATAACACAGTCAAGTTTACCACCAACACAAGCATTGCTCAAAGCAGGAAACAACATATATAAATATTTAAAATTTATATGTCCAAAACGGTCATGCCACAATTGAACAATTTGTGACGAAAAATCATAACGACAACTACTAGGTAAAATACTATCATACAAGTTAGGAACAGATAAAGACAAAACAGGTGTAGGTGATATAGGTGGAGGAACTGGTGAAACTGGAGGTAGATCGCCTAGATAATATAGTCCATCTCTCTCATGTCCCCTGATAATAATCCTCATGATATTCAGGTCCTGCAAATAACACGAATCAGGTAAGAATACAACGGCACAATGAAAATTTTTGGTTAACTGATGTACAGATAATAGATTCATGGCCAATTTTAGGGCATGAAAACTGAATGTAATGTAAAGCCATCTGGGAGGCGGACTGTACCCCTACTAACAATAGGGGCATGTGTCTCATCTGCTAACTATACCTGTGTATGTAACTGTTCGTCAAAAGTGGTGAAGTGATGAGCCTCACCTGTCATGTGATTATTTTCACTCAAGTCCAGTGTCCAAAGGGAAGACGGACTGGCACAAGCATGAAAGGCACGAGGTATACCTGTAGTGGTGGCAGCAGCAGTAGTCGGATTTTGAGAAGTTAGAGCGGACATAAGTATATCCAATCAGGAAGTGATAACATTCATATCACTCTGCTAAGGAAGAGCAGTAGCAGGAGTAGCGGTAGTAAGTGGTGGTATCTTAGCAATAACAGTAGTATGACCGCGAGGAGGTGGCTTAAGCTCAGGATGGAACTTCTAGCAAGTAGCCCTGAGATGTCCTGGTCGGCTACAATAATCACACTGACGAGAATTCTCCTATTTGTGTTGATTTAGGGCACCCTAACGGCGCTGGTCCGAGCGCTGTCCACCCTTGACTGAGGATCCTGAATGAGACCTTGCAGTAGTTACAAGGGTCATTTGATCAGTCGGAGGAGTCAAGGCCACAACTGGAAGTGATGCAATACGGACGCGGCGTTCATGCTGCTCAATCATCGCGTACACCTCATAAAGAGAAGGAAGCCTCAACATCGACAAGATCTGGGAACGAGGTCCATCAAACTCATCACGAAGCTCCATAAGAAATTTGTGAATCCTATCCTCCTACTCTCGAGTATGCAAGAATGTTGCTCCCTCGGGCTCTATCCTCGGAATAGTAGCAAGAGGACGTAAAGTCTCATATTCAAGGCAGCGATGGGTCAAATAGCCATAATAATTCTGAACAGTCAGATCTCCCAGCCGAGCATATAAGAGCTCCTGAGAAAGCTCATAAACACGAACTCCCTGTCTTGACTGGGAATACATCTTTGATAATGCGTTCTATAGCTTCGGAACAGAATTATGAAACTGGTGAATCCTGCAAACAGATGGCTCCATTAAGCCAAATAACCATCCAAGACTGGCGCAGTTCTCAGAGAACCACACAGAATATCCAGGGTCGGCATCAGTTGACTTTGGGTGAGATCCCGTCAGCCAACCAAGCTTCCCTATACGGCCTAAGAAAAGCTGGAATGAGCGAGACCACTCAGTGAAGTTACGGCCATTCAACAACTGTGCCGTAACTTTCTGAGAGATCATGCCCGACAGTGCTGGTAATGCAACTATGCCAGTAGGTACTGTATACTAGTCAAACATAAAAGTAAAAGTACCAATAGATGTCTCAACGGTAGAGGTGTCAACAATAGGGATTTCAAGTCCCGCAGTAGTAATCATATCAACAATACTAGGGCACAATACTAGGGCACCCGTGACAAAAACAACTCTTAAGATAAATAGATGGATAAAATAAGAGAAAAAAATATACCTCCAGTCAAACAGTCGTGACAAATAAAGAAGGTCCAGAAAGCTCCCAAATAATAAGTCACGATGCTCAGAAATCTAATAAATATAAATAAATGATCTACTGCATCAAGAGCAGATCAACGGAGAAGAAGATTCAACCCTCTTAAAAAAGTCCTAGATACTGCAACCTGCCAACATTGTGACGAAGAATGCGAAGAACGAAGCCACAACAAAAAACGCGACCCGACAGTGGACTGATGAGTGGGTGGGCTGGTCTGGGCTGTGGACTGATCTGGGTTTATTGTTGGGCTGGTCTATTTTTTTTTACTGGTCTGGGTTTATTTGGTCTCTTGGAAGAGTTGTCGCTGGAAGAGTTGTTGCTGGGTGCAGTTGGTGTTGTTTTTCTGGAGCATTGTGCTTTGCTGGGTTGGGCAGGTTGCAGTTGCGGCTGTGCTGGATTGTCGCTGGTTTCGTGTTTCGCTGGGCAGTGGCTGTAACGTGGTGCAGTGATTGGCAATGGAATAGAATTTGGCAGTATGCTGGTCAGTCGGTGGAGTTGCTGTCGATGGAGTTGCTGTCAGTGGAGTTGTGTTTGAGGTTTAAATGGAGTTGGCTGTGATGTTTGGCTGAGGCTAGGGTTAGAGTTAGAGTTAAGGTTGTGGCTCTGCTACTAGCTAGAAATATTTGTGAGTAAAAATAGAATACAAACTAAGTGTAGAACCTCCGTATATATAGCCAATGAAAAATACAATAAGGAAAAAAAGGTAAAAAAAAGGAAACTTTAATAAACCCGAATAAACTAAGCTGCTATATCTCTAAAAGAACGAAATAATAAGAAAATATATGAAAATATTTAACTTAAATGAGCATATAGCTTATGATCAAAATGAACGGCGAAGACGGACTCATATAGCCGACCCCAAATGATTGGGACATAAGACTTGGTTTTGTTTAGTTTGTATTGGTTTGGTTTGCTTCGTCTATGCAACAATGAAATGTCTTGAAGCCTGTTGTTGATTTACTTTTTATCAGCGAAGATGGAGAACTTTACTTCGTTATTCATAGCTTCTGTTTTGGTGTTAACATTACCTCAGCCACGAGATTACAGGTACAAGAATCAACAACCTTTTCAAAAATGTCCACAGCTTCTACTACCAAATTTTTAGACTGCTGGACTGATTTTCTTCTATGCGACAGTTACAAATTCTAGACTGAGGGCCTGGTTTAAATGGCCCAATAACTTTCATGCAGAGCCAACTGATGAACCTAACCTGGTTACCATTGCCCATATTGTTTTAATTTCTGACGACAACTATCTTTTGCCCCATTCTGTAAGTTTGCCACTTTCCAGGAAATCACCGAATTGTTGGGTGTCATGACCACCAATATGCACCAAATTTGGTGTGAGCATAATTGTTTAAAAAGACATTGTTGCTATATTTAAGATTTTATGGTGTACTTTGTTGTCTAATAGAGGGAAATTTTCATAACAGTTCCTTGATGATCATTTCTTGAGACCTATTCTATATGAGTACATAACAGGTCAGGTGGGAAGAAGATTTTGTAAGTGATCATCAAGAACGGATTTCCCCATGGGAGATTGATCCTTCAGTTTCTCTCCCACCCTTGGGCTTCCAGTCCCCGCCAAGGCTTAAGAAACTGCGGATGAATGTGCAGGCTAGCCCACCCGACACCCCTGTTGGTGGTATATATCTTCCTAATAGATTGCTAAATTAGCATATAATGTCCGTGCTCACAAGTTAATGAAGCTCGGGCTTATTTTCCTGTGGCAGGTCGGTGTGGGTTTTGGACTTTGAGGAGTCTGTGAGATCCTCTAAGGTCTTGCAAGGTCAAGAAAATGTAGGTTTGGTGTCACCTTTCTATGGAAGTAATAAGGCGCACCGCCCAGTGGATTTTGGGATGCAATCCATAGCGTGTCAAAGTCTCACGTCAAATGGGATAGAAGGGACAAAATTTGGGGAGTTCGTGAGGAATCAGCCATCCACCACTTACTCGGGCTTTGTGGAATCAAATAGGTTTCCAAAGGTCTTGCAAGGTCAAGAAATTTGCTCATTGAGATCTCTGACTGGAAAACTGATCTCAACCTTGGTTCTTGGAGAAAATCTGATCTTGGTTGCAATTTCTCAACATGAATCAAAGACCCACACCCAGTTGCTACCCACTTGCTTCTGAAGGTGTTAGGAACATATTCATTCCTTATAATGACATCTATAGAGCCGGCCAAGATCCTCTAATGTACTCCTATAGGACGAACATCCCAAGAGAAAAAGTCCCTTTCAACCCGACTTCCTTTCAAAGTGGGGTTATGATGGATGAAGTTAAAAGGCCACCAGAAGTGATTTCTGCACCTCTCAATTTGGAAGCAAATTTCAAAAGTCAGAAAGATGATACCTTAAAGGGCTTGGTGAGTTGCTGTAAACTATTTGGGTTTCCCTTGAATGAAGAAATTCCAAGTTCTACTCAGAGGAACCGCACAAAGGTAAGGACAAGCTTTAATAACTGCACACGTTTGGAATACACTCTTTTCTTGACTGGCTCACTGTGTTTTCGTTCCTTGGTAAAGGTCCACAAGCAAGGGAACTTGGTGGGAAGAGCCATTGATCTCTCAAAACTGAATGGTTATGATGACCTGCTGATTGAACTGGAGAAACTCTTTAATATGGTGGGCCTCTTACGAGATCCTGACAAAGGTTGGCGAATTGTGTACACCGACAGTGAGAATGACCTGATGATTGTCGGGGACGACCCATGGGAGTATGTTTTCTCTCACAAAATGAAGTCAAGTTATAAAAGAAATGACTATTTTATGTTTATGTAAATAGCATATATGATTTTATCAAATGATAATTGCATGTTCTCCTGCAAATACTGAATTGGGGGCTGCCCTTCATGTCTTTTGTAGTGAGTTTTGTAATGTGGTGTCCAAGATCCATATATACACCCAAGAAGAAGTGGAACAAATGACAGCTCAGGTGATGTTGGATGATACTCAAAGTTGTTTGGAAGAAGCGCCAGCGGTAATGGGGTGTCGAAGTATTCATCAGTGAGCCAGCCGGGTTCTTCTCCAACAGTGATTAGGGCCTGAAACCAGTATTCCTTAATTATGAAATTGCTGTCTTCTTGTTTGCTACCTTTTACTCTTGAACTGTAGTATTATCCTCTTTATGGTTCCTAAACTCTTTAAGTTTAGTACTTGCCATCCTTGGTGGAACATATGACACTTAAGCTGTAAGCTGCTGCTGCTGCTTCACACTTGTGCCATGTGTTATAAACTGCATGCAGTCATGTGACTAATGTTATGGGTATGTTATGAAATTATGTGAACATTTGGGTGATTATGGTTTCCTAATTCTGGTCTAGGTAAGTTTTAGTTTATGACTTTAAACTCTATTTGAACTTCGAAATTATCTTTGGTGAACTGCAAAGGAAATTATGTAATGTAACGGTTACACTATGTCATTATCGTCATGTGTAACCGACTAATTATGAATAACTATATAGAACTATTGGGTTTTACCAAATTGTATAACCATCGATAACTTTCACATTCAAAAATTCCCATAAAAACAAGTGGTTCATTTTTCTATTTATTTTTTTACTATTAGTTGGTTACACGACATAGTGGTAGCGATGTGGTATCACACCATTGAATTGAAAATTTACTCGCAAT